CCTCCGCGGCTCCGCCGGACCTGCGTAGCCGAGCCGCATCTCCGCTGGCCTGGGGCCGAGCCCCGGGGTGTGGAGCCTGGGGCCGCCGCAGGGTGGGCTCCGCGCCCGCAGACCTGGGCTCGGAGGACTGGAGCTCAGGGGGCGTTTTTTACTGCGGTGCCTGCCCTCGAAGTAGCGGCAGGAGGAAGGGACAGGCAGGGCCTGGACCTGTCAATTGCGACCCCGGCTGCCCTCCGTTTAGGATGGTTCTTGAAACTTACCTTTCCCAGACGTTTTTGCTCTTTCTACTCCCAAACTGGCCTTTTACCCACACAGGGAAAGCTGCTGAACGAACAGGCGAGACTTCTAATCTTAGCAAAGTCCCTTCCTGTTCCATTTGGAGATGCTCACGACCCTCTTCGGTAAATTCGAGTACCACACGTCACTCCACCTCCCACCCATGTATCAATTCCCTTTTCTCATGTGGCAAAATTATCAGAATTGTTCTCGGCCTCAAGCAGTAATATGGCCTGAGTCTCTTTTTTTTTTTTTTTTTTTTTTTAGCCATTTTTGTATTCGCAAGCCTGGTTCAGAAAAATATTTTAAAATTTATTTTCTCTCAGTCCCTACAGTGGTGGTACTTTTGTGGTCAGCTAGCCAAATTTGGATTCAGACAGCCTGATCCCATAGCTGTGCTACTCTTTATTAGAGTCTTTAGTTCTTAAACTGTGGAAGAGATTATTATGTGCCTAGCAAACAGGGATTCATACAGCCATTATAAGTCTAAAATTCCAAATTTGATTCACTCGGTTTCCCAAGATGTATTTTTAATTCCTTCTACATTTTCCAAGGAGCCTTCTAGACTTCTAAATTTTAGGGCTTCCTGTCTTGCACAGGTGTTTCGTCTTCAAGGAGCTTGGGAGGAATTAAACACAAAAAACAATAAATTTCCGATCTTTGAATAAATCAGTAAAAGATGCCATCACCTATCACTCATTGCTTCCCTAGTCCAAACTATATGGCTGGAGTATTAATACTAACTGTAGGCTTAAAACAAGACACCTTTGAGATCTAACAAGCCAGTTGTGTCCTTGTGAGATATTTATCCATTCAGAGATTATTTTACATGCCAAAATTTTGCTCTTGAATGTCCTGACTTCGAATTTTCTGTAAAAATAGTCACTACTTGCTTCACATTACTTCTCATGTATCAAAATTCTAGTCTTTGGGCTGAGGATTTAGCTCTGTGGCAAAGTGCCTGCCTGGCAAGCACAAAGTCGTGAGTTCGATTCCTGGTACCGGCAGAAAAACAGAAACATACAACAAAAAAAAATTCTAGTCTCCAGTAAACTTTATTTCTTGGTATCACTGTAATGATTAAAAGGATGTCTATGAGTCTGGAATAAGGTGAAAAAAAACTTTTATATTATCATTCTCCTGGGTTTTCTTTCAATCTTGAGCTTATTTTCAAGAAAGCTACTAAATGTAGCTGGATTTCCATTTCAGAGCTTACTAGTGAAATTTCTTCAAGCAAAATTTTTTCTATTTGTGGCACAGGCACCATAAAGAGCTAGAAGTGGACTTAAACACAGGCAGGCAGACTGACAAGAAAAACTGTATCGCAGTGTTTCTAAATGCCTGTTGCTTGAGGTAATACACACTACCATGTCCAGTTCTCTTAAGTAGTAGCTCTTTACTGACTGATCACAAGAAAAGATCTTTTCCCAGGACTAAAGTTTGACTTCATGCTGGGGAACATAGACGGTTATCCTCTTGATGGGATAACAGGCTAAAACATCAACTTGGAATAAAAGCATATGCTAGAAATTATGTATTTACTACTTCATATTGGCAACGGTACTACCTCTGAAAAGGAAAAAAGCCACCAGCCCAAATGTTTCAAGGGATTGTTTATGATACAGCTTTTTTTCTTACATATACATACAGCTACCTTTAAAGGTCTCCATGATTTAAGATCCAACTGGTTAGTGACAGCCAGTTGATTATTTTCTGTTCAAATCATACACTGCATCCTTTATTTCAAAGGTCACATTATTTATGCTCTCCCCCAGTTCAAGGCAATGTGTATTATGTATGCCAAGGGTTATGTAACTATAATTTCTGGAAACAGTAAACAGCTGAGACTAACCCTAAAAATAAATTCCTCTGGGATTTTTTTGTGTGTGCAAAAATCCATCTGCCCTCACTGCAGGTTCATTACAAAAATCACTGGATCATGCCAAAAGACAGAAAAGTCATTAGAATCCTTACATTCTTTCTACAGCAGCTGTGCATACACTTTGCATTCTTTATGCCAGGAGCTTTTTCCAATCTTCATTACAAAATAGGAAGAAAGTCTAAAGAAGGAAAGCTCATTTCTATCAGATTTTGGTAGAGGAACCACATATAAGAGACGTGTTTTATATCTAGTTCCCACTCTTTCAATGATCACAAAGTTATCTTTAGGCCCAAATCCACTGTCTACCATAGGGTAAGCACATTTAGATATTCTTTCCCTTGATTCCACACAAACAGTATTTGCTGGCTCCAAAGTCTGCAGGAATATTTTTCCTTGAACTTTGTTTTCTTGTGGTGCTGGGAATCAAACTCAGCTTTGCACATGAGGGGCAAGCACTTTACCACTTTAGGTATAGCCCCAGTCCTTTGAAACTGTGCCTCCAATATGAGGGCAGCTGACTGGGATCATGGCATAGAAAACCCTTAGAAGTGATTAAAACTTAATTTGATCCTTCTGGAATAAAACTCAAATTTAAGCACTGTTGACAATGGTGTTGAAAAATTTCCGGTGTCTATTTACTGGCTAAGGTAGCTTTTATATTTCCCGATAGCTTTTATATTTTCATTTAATTACATGTAATGTGTCAAGTAAATATTGGACATAAAGATGAATTTTAAGCCATATAGAAGGCTGTAAAAATACTGCTTATCAAACAGTCCAAAGGGCACTTCTGCATAAACTAGATAACGGTGCCAAAGCTTACACCCTTCCCTTTTTCAATCAAGCGACTGTCACATCCTCCCTCCCCTTTCTCAAGGGACTATAAGGGATCATCAGAGTTAATAGGAAACCTAAAGCTTGCCACCTCAAGAAAAGAATTCATATTTTTAAAAAAGAATTCAGGTAAAAAAAAAAAGGCCATAAAATATAATTCATTTTTGCTAAGCTTTTCTTGTCCTGCAACAACTTACAAAAAGCTTATAATTAAAACCCCATCACCACCCTTAATATATATTTCATCTTGATATTTCTCTGCGTTGACAATTGATTTACATGAATAAGCATGGAAGTAATCATAGTTAAAATGTCCAATTGCTCTTAAAACATTTTCACTGTTAACAATTCCTACAGGTTTTTTAATTTTTCAGATTCTCCTCTTGGTGAAATTTCTGTATATAAGGAACACTAGTAGGTAAATTTTAGCTACATGCTTTGGAATACAAATTCATTAAAGGCTTCTAATTCACTTGTAAGAAGCAAGGAAGCAAATTTTAAATCATTGAGTATTGACTTTTTATTATTAGTCACTGTTCATAATTTGTTTCAACCAAAAGACAATACACACAGCAGATTTCTAATGCATCCCATGTAAATGTTTACATCCATTTTATTCCTCACTCGCCTCTAAGACTTATTTAATTTTAAATTTTTTTACATCTCAAAAATATGTCTGCAATAATTAGAACTTCATTTAGCTGTCCCACTTGGAAACAGCCTTTTAATATTTTTACAGTAAAGAAGATGTGATGGGGCTTAATGAAAATGTAACTTACAACATTACGAAAGAAAAAGGACTTTACAGGAACACAATGGGAGTTCACAAAGGAAAGAGTTCGAAATTCTTTCCCATGAGGTCCCCAAATAAAAACAAAAACAAAACACACAAAGCCCAAATGCAGGTTCTTAAAAAAAACAAAACTCCAATGCTCCATCTTGAAGCCAGAATCAGCCTCATGGAAGTTTATGAAACAACTGAGACAGCTGCTTCAGTATTTCCTTCTGTTTAAGTGTTCCAAGTGCTGGAACTTTGTCGATGGGACCCACATTGCTATTGCTTGAAAAGGTTTTTCACTTCCAGTTCTAGAAGCAGCTCCATCCTCCCAAGCCAAAGCTGGTCAAAAAGGTTTTAAACTTCAGAACTCGCAGAGCAATCTCTCTTCAATGATCCTCCCCACTCCCAAACTCACGAATACACCAACATACACACCTGCTCCCCAACCACGTACTTTGTGAGTATGTATTTTTTGCTCTCTAATTCTGCTTAGGACACTGTGGTTAAAATACATTCACTAGGAAAAAAATACACATTCAGACTTGTTCTTTTTTCTAGTTCTTATGGCCCAAATATATGCCAAACAGAATGAAGTTGAACCTCAAAAGTAGTATTCCCTAACTTCCAACCTCTTCTAGAAGGACATAAAAATGGAAAACATGTGATACAGTAAATGGAAATATTCGAACTGTTAGTGCTGGACAATTTTAAAAGTCTGTTTTCGTGAGTGGGACAAGGAGTACAAACCAAAACTTTAACCTCGCAAGAGGAAAGACTCTTCTTAAATGTTACACTGAGGAATGTTTCTTTAAATGAGAAAGACCTTAAACTTAACAGATGGTCTCTACGCGCACTGTAAAACTTTCATGACTATCTAAACCACCTCAAGGTAACAGCACCAAAGCTTTGTGGGAGAAACTTCTCAGGGAGAGCACCCTTCCTACAGCTGAGATTACTTAGATTAATTCTCTTAAGACTACTGGGGGTGGAGGGTGGAGGACAGGCTACTAACTACTCTCGAAAAGGAAAATGATGAGGTACAAGTGCATGTGAAATTATCAAAGTATGTGAGGACTCACTGCTTACCACCCTACGGTTATTAAACAGCCACAGAAATCACCCTTTCATTGCGATGGCTCTGGAGTTGTAAAATCCATCCGAATTTGCTCCCCCTTGAATGGTTGTACTTGGGAAAAAGAATTGCTGAAATGTGCAAGTGATCACAGAAATTAAGAGATTTCTCCTTTTAGCTACAAGGCCAAGTGAGAGGAAAACTAATGCTGATCCTAGAAACTAAGGCACGCTGAAGCTTTCAAAGATCCAATCATTTGAAACAGTCTTCACAACCATCAGTATCCTAGGCAGTTATTTGGCTGCTAGTCTTTCAGTATGGTGCTCAGGTTTAGTCCTGAAATCAACTCATATTCTATCACAGCACCCTTTGTGTTAAGGCCATGATATTTTATTCCTTCTAGACAAAGCCACGGATGCATCTCAAAACTCTGATCACCCAAGCAGACGCTTTGTCAGCAGAGTAGACTCTTTCCAGCTCCATTAGCTAGCACTGTCCTATAACACGGTCTTGCGCAGATTTCTTCAGAGATTCAACTCACGTCAACCAAAAAAACCTGAGCTGGTTAGCTAAAAATGTAAGGGAGAAAATAAAGCCTCTACACAAAGAGGAATGTTAAGACAAATTCTATTCAAAAAATCCACCGTTGTGTTAATCCTATCATGTTTCACAGCATTAAATATCCATCCAAGGAAATCAGTCTACAAAGAAACCTTTAAAGGCTATTTTCCATTGCACAGGCACAGCAGTCGTCGGAAGTGTGTGCTAGTCCACACTTACTGTAAACAGGAGATACATCCTGTTCTTGACTCAGCCAACCATTTAGCCAGGGAGTAAGTTTTTTCAGAATCTTGCTCTTATATACAATTAAGACCAGAAAGTTTCCCTTTTGGAGCCTTTAGTTCAACTCCAGTTTGTCAAATGTTAGGAATAGTCTAGCATCTGATACAGAGCTAGGTTTGACAAGACACTGAAGATTTTAAGTAAAGGCGTGGTGAAATGGAGTAGGGGGAAAGGGTATCTGTACTGGGTTTAAGACTGAAGCCAAAGTAGTCATTATACTGTGCAATACAGTAACAATTGCAAACATTTTAAAAGCAAGGTGGGCCCCACTTTTTTTTCTTCTGCTATACACAGACATGGTGCATGTATACTTGAACATACATAGTACATCCAACGTGTACCATGGAGTCAGCTCCACCTCATTCCAGCAACCCAACTTTAAAGTTTGGTAACACAAGGATCCTTTCTAAAAAGCACTCGGCACTCTTACTAGTTAAAAAAAGGTCAAGTCTTTAATATAGATATTCATGAGATTGGTCTCTTTCAAGAGATCAATTTCTCAGACTCAGGAAAGGATAATCCTACCCTACGGTGAACATAAGACTTCCTCTGACATAGAGGGTAAGGAAGCTACAAGGCTTCATTCCAACACCATTAAGTACAATATAGGAAAGATTTCTTTAACCGTGTGGTCTTTATTTCAGTGCCAGTGTTACAGATACAACACAAATGTTCCAGTTAAAAGAAGGAATTCAAACGGAATGCCAAGGTCCAAGCCAGGCTTTGGAAATAAAAAGGGAGGTTTGGAGTAATGGACAAGATGACTCCCATATGCTCCAGGATGAGTCTTGCTCTTCCTATGGGCAAAAGTTTTCATTAAGGAGTCTGTTCTTTAAAACTGGGGGACTTCTCTTTCCACCCATTTACCACAGTTCAAATAGGCAAGTGAAGGGCTTGGGAAAGCTTTAAAATTGTGGTGGGAGTATGGTCTTTAATAACTATTAATGCATCTTTTAGGAGGTATCCACTCTGCACTTTAAGGGGAATCAATTTTGAAAATCATGGACAGTATTCATGACTATAGCTAAAGAATGGAGAGAAAGGGAGCTGGAAGAGCCCTGGAAGTTTCTATTACAAATAGAGCACCATATCCTTCATGCCAACTCTCAACAAAAGCTCTTTTGAACTGCATCTGTCCAGTGTTTACAAATAACCTCTCAAGGTCTGACCATTTCTTGATAACAAACATACATACATACATACATGTGTGTGTCTGTGTGTATACAGCAATGCACGGAAAAGGCTACCAGGAACCTAATGCCTCTTTCAAATATTGGGGGAACCAGTAGAAAAAGGCGGGGCTCCCTAATGTTCATTGTTACATTTCTATTCTCAATCCCAGATGTAAAAATCGCCTGAAGATGGTAACCCAGCTCGTGAGGAATAAATACCCCACCATGCCCAGTCCACAGAGAAACAACAGTAGAAAGAAGGGGCCACTCTGCTGCAGAGATGAAGTGAGTGTTTCTCGCCATGAATTCCAGTCCTCTCCTCCAGACCAGCTGCTTTTGGCCTCAGGGGCCCAGGGAATGTTGATTTTGGCTGCAAATGTGGGACGGGTGGACAAGTGCGGAAAAGGGAGAAGAGAAGGAAGAGTGCAAAATAGCCTCCAGAAGCAGCCAGCCTTAACAGTGGAGGAGAGGACAGTAGTCTTAAACAATGCTTCAAGGTCAGCAATAACTTCAGGAAAATCCTCCTCAACAGTTCTCTTCAGCTCCTCATGCCCATGGTACAGTTGGGGGAACTTGCCAGCAATCACAACCTCCTTCCCAGAGTTCCTTTGATTGAGTGGGGTTAAGAATGAGAATGGTGGTGGACCCTCATTGCCAGGACTGAGGGGGAAAGTTGTTCACCTCTGCTAGATCTTGCATTGCTGAGCCCTTGTGATTATATGTAAGCTTGATCCTCATTCGCAGCTGTTGCTGTAAAAGAGAAAAAGAATCACAAATTACTACTTTGAAATAAAACCACAATCTGCCCAGTCCCCAAGGAGAGTTTTCTATTTTTTAGTTTTTTTACTGAGATGATGTCTCACTGTGTTGCCCTGAACTTCCAGGCTCAAGTAATCCTCCTGTCTCAGCCTCCCGAGTAAGGGATTTGTAAGGTACATATTGCCATGCTTGGCTCCACAAGTAACTTCCACCATTACTACTCCCATGCCCCATATACTGGGGATTAAACCCAAGGTCTCGTGCAAGCTAGGGAAGCCCTCTACAGCTGAGCTGCATTCCCAGCTCCTTTTTATTTTTATGCAAGGTCTCAATAACGTGCCCAGGTTGGCCTAGAAATTGTGATCCTCCTACCTCAGCCTCCTAAGTAGCCGAGACTACAAGAATTGGCCATCATACCTGGGTCTCCTAAGTAACAATTGCTGAGTGTTTTTAAAAAACATTTAACCCTGGGGGCTGGGGATTTAGCTCAGCGGCAAAGCGCCTGCCTGGCAAGCGCAAGGTCGTGAGTTCGGTTCCCTGTACCGGAGAAAAACAAAAAAACCAAAACAAACAAACAAACAAAAAAAATTCAACCCTTATATAGATGTCTCCAGAAAAAAAAGATAAACATATACTCATGCTCTACATTCAGATATACTGTTGCTTTTCTTCCTGCAAACCTATAGTTAAGTGTCAACATAAATTGATTCACTCCCAAAGCATAAAAGAAAAAAGCTAAGCCACAGGAACAGCAATTTTTTGAAGAAAAAAAACACTATTTTTGCAATATGTGGCAGATTTCAAATATTAATGCTCTAAGAAACATTTTACTCTATCAGATAGTCAAAAAAATTTGTGCTTGTGCTAATGGCAAATACAGTACTCAAAATATAGTGAACACCACACATGGCAAGTTGTTACAAGGAGGAAATTATACTGGCCTTACTGAGGAATTACTAGAGATTTTGAAGGTGAAAAAATTCTCTGAACCATTTCCAACTTATCTGAAAATCAATTAATTAGTATTAAGACCAATTTAATTTTTTGAAAAAATATAGTAAAAATCTTTCTGAATTATGATTTCTAAAGCTATGCTTTTCATTTCACTGCTTCATTTAAAATATTTCCATTTTTGCTATCCAGACTTAGTAATTACAGCAGGAAATGGGGGTATTTGGTTCAACAAATGCTCTTACCTTAGATTTCAAGTTTTGTATAGGGACATAAATGTCTAAGTTTCACCTTCTCAAAGCTATATACCTTTAATCCTCAAGAGGAGGCGAAGCAGAAAGAATGAATGAATGTGTGCATGACTGCATGTGTGAGTGCATGTGTGTGGGTGTGTGTGGGTGTGTGCGCGCGTGTGCGCACATGCACACCTGCTGCTGGGGAGCAAACTAGGCAACTCCTTATGTACACTAGGCAAGTGCTCTACCACTGAGTTACATCCCCAGCAGCTCAGATTTTTACAGGGAAGGTTAGGTTTTAGCGAGATGTCACTACTCCACTTAATGTCACTGAGCTCCATTTATTTTCTACAAAAGAACAAAGAAGTCAGACCAGGAATTTTGACTGATGTCTTCTCTATGAGTCAGAAAACCCCAAAGAAATAAAGCAAAAGTTTATTTTAGAAAATAAGCTTAAAGATTGCCTCGATACTGGCTTCAAATGTACTACTCACCTTCTGTGGGTTCAGTACTTTAATGACTTGTGTGATGGTCCCCGTATTAAATGCTGGGACAATGCTGCTGCTAGGAGACAGAAGCTGCAGCTGGAATGTCTAAGGGGAAACAAAGGCTACTCTTCAGAAAAAGTAATGCATAGTGTTATGTCACAGTTTTCTACAAAAATTTAGATGCCCAGCTAATGGGTCAAGTAATAGACTAACCCTAATTTTTGCCCACTATTTGTTTTCCAGGTCTCTGCAATTCACAATAGAGGACTGTCACTCATTGTATTTGTAAAAACACATTGCTACATCTTTGATCATGAAAACTAGTAATACATCACCCTGCCCTTTCTGATAGAAGGAATGTTAGCTACTACCTATCAAAAGGTGACCAATTCTTATCCTGGCACCTTAACAGTAACTGACCAACTATGCAAGTGAAAAATGAGTACCTACAGCAAAAAGCAAAACAGAACAAAACAAAACGAAAGAAATCAAGAGAACAGCTTTCCAAAAATAACAAACCTACATGCTAGTCACTGACTATGCCTCTTTGTATAACTGGATGACTAGGCCCCAGAGACTTGATCCTTTGTTTTTTAAAGCCTGTATAATCTGAAATGTGTCGAGACTTCTCCCTACATGGGAGAGGAAGGAAAGGCTTGAAAGACTCAGCCTGGTAATGTGCAAGTGGAACATCAGGATCACTCCATTAAAGACACAAGGCCCTAACAGAAAAACTACGAGACCTAGCGTGTATATCAAATGACCTAGATGAACGAAACACCATAATTTGTAGCGGCTGATGAGTTTTATTTATTTGTTTATAGGAATGAGTAATGAACATGCTATAAGCAACTGAAATAAACCACACTGCACTAAGCAGCTATTCTATATATCAGGAATTGAAAACTTTTCCTGAGAAAAACAAGGAAGTCTCTAAAAGCAAGCAAAAGTTATAAGTAAAGATTCAATCTCAAATCAGATTAATTATATTGAGCCTAATTTGTAATATTTTGTCAAGATGAATTTTATCAGCTAAAATGTTATTCATTACTACTATTTTTCATTAAATTTAAGATACTATCAATTGTCTGTATCACTGAAGAAGAAAACAGAATACCCACTGACCTACGAGGTAATTTTAAAATCCACTCCAATTTCTAAGATATTAAAAAATGAAAATAGGCCAGGCATGGTGGCACCTGCTTGTACTTCCAGCACTCAGTAAGCCGAGGCAGGAGGACAGCTGCAAATTGAAGGCCAGCCTGGGCTACAAAGTGAGTTCAAGGCCAGCCTGAACTGCACAGTGAAACCCTGTCTCAAAAAGACAAATTAAATTTAAAAATTAAAAAATGAAAACAGTATACAGTAGAATCTGTGAACTGGTAAGTTCAAGATATATCTTCATAAAGCATTATATATACATTACAACACCAAGAATAAGGCCATTTTTTTGATGTGTTTTGTTTTGGTTTGGTTTGGTTTGCTTTGTTTTGTTTTGTTTTAAGACTGTTTCACTGGCTGGCCTGAAGCTCACTATGGAGCACAGGGTGGTTTGTAATTCCCGATCATCCTGCCTCAGCTTCCTGAATGCTGGGATGACAGGCATGTAATACCATGACAGGCTCCAAGACCATGCTTTACTAGCAAAGGTGAAAGAACAAGGGTAAACCCTAACTTGCAGGAGCTAACATTACTGAGCACTGAACACATGAAAAGTGTGTCCAGTAGTATCCAACACAACTCATTTCTCAATGCAAGCCTATGAAGAAGTGGCTATTATCAGTGCTCCATTTGCAAATAAAGAATCTGAGACACAGAGATTAAATGACTTTCTTCATGTCATATAGTCAGTATTAAAATCCAAACAGAATAGCTCTAGAATTCATTAATGGTTCTTTTTTTTTTCATTAATGGTTCTTAACCATTCCTATTACTACTTTTTAAAACATCTACATATTCTGACTCCTAAAAATTCTCAGCAAAGTTTGAAAGTCAGTATAATCCATAAATATCAGTCTCTAAAAAAACATGCTGCCTGAATGCCAACAGTCCACATGTCAGTGCAAAGATTAGGTTAGCCTAGCCTAAACAGTGGTTAGCAAAGCATGGCCCAACATCTGTTTCTGCAAATAGTTTTACAGGGAGAGAGCCACAGCCACTCGTTTACATATTGTCTATAGCTATTTCTGCACTGTATCAGCAGTACTAAGTATAGCAAGAAATGATACAGCCTGAAATAAAATTATTTGGTAGTCTTTTATACAAAAAAGTTCGCTCACACCTCATTTGAAACTTTTCTTTATTGAAGATGTCGTTCTTCCAAAAAGATATAAATACCCCTTTAATTTTACTTTTTTTTTGGTCTTTTTGAGACAAGGTTTTCCTCTGCACTACAGGCTGACCTTGAACTCATTTTGTAGCAGAGGCTGGTCTCAAACTCACAGCGATCCTCCTGCCTCAGCCTCCCAAGTGCTGGATTATAAACATGAGCCACCACGCCTGGATAAATATCCCTTAAGATTTGATATAAATAAAACCTCAATTCATGAAAATAGTCATTATATAACATGCAATAAGTTGCATGTTAATGAAGGAGCAATGTTTTATCACTTAAATATCAGGAGATGCAAATTTTAATTCTGATCTAGTGACCAGATGATTATGCCACTAGGCAAAATCCTTTTGTTTTTTAATGGTATTGAGGACTGAACCTGTGTCTTCACACTGAGCTATGTCTCCAGCCCTTTTTTTATATAGTAGTTTTACTTTGATACACAGTCTCACTAAGTTGACCAGGCTGAATTCTAATTTTCTGTCCTTCTGCTTTAGCCTTCTAGAGTGCTATGATTACAGGAGTTTGCCACCATGCCCAACTAAAGTCCTAAATCTTTTTTTTTTTTTTTCCTGGTACCAGGAATCAAACTCACAACGTTGCACTTGCCAGGCAGGCGCTGTGCTGCTGAGCTAAATCCCCAACTCTAAAGTCCTAAATCTTAATTAACTTTAATTCTATATTAGATTTTGTTTTTAGATGTTCTTACTACAATACTTACTACACCTATCCTTCCCTGACCATTACGTGACCACCCTCTAGAATTCTGCCCACTACTATTAAATTTCCCTTCTTTATTCTACAATACTAACCATAAGAGTATCTGTCACCAAGTAAAAATTTTTCACTAAAAATGACATGCCTCAATGACCCGTAAGTTTAACTACTGTTGTTAGCTGGAGTTAAATCTGCAAATTTAATCTCCAAACATTAATAGATACCTTTCACCAAATTCATGGGAAAAAAAAAAACCGCTGGTCTTTAATCAAAGGAAAACAGCAAAGAAAATAGTGTAGATAGTACCTTTGGTACTGCAGCCTGGAAAACAAAGTCCGTCATGTCTAGCTCTGTGCTGTTAGAGGCCTGTATCGTTATCACTGTTACACTGGGGTTGGTATTTGACCGTTCAAAGGTGAATTCTATCTTCAAGCCATTCTTACTGTACGCTGTGATGGAGGGGATGCCTGGGAAACACAGGAAGATAAGTCTTATTGCAGTCAGCCTAATGCTTAAAGAATTATTACTGCCTTTCCTCAATCATCATCCCTCATTACTAAGTGCTCCAAGTGATGATGGTAACAATGATTTGTACCTGTAGTGATGTCATTGAAGAGAGGCTGTGATGAAAGCCCATCCAACAAGAAGGGAGGCTGAGATATCTGTGGGACCGAGGCAGGGGTAGGAGCAGCAGGTGGAGCACCTAAAAGAAATAGTCCAATGGAAAGTCAACCTTAGCCAGAATGACAAAGCTCACTAAGAAAACAGAAGATTATTATGTTTTTCAGGTTAAGGAAAGGATTCTTTAAACAATAAGCAAATAACACAGACAAAAAGGGAAGAACTAAAAGTTCAAATTCTTTAATTCCTGCTCATAAAAAAAATGGGAAACCAGAAGCAGGAGAAAATGTCTGCCATATAAAAACAAATGGACAAGAATTTAGAACTATACCTATCTTCTACAAATCTGTGAGGAAAAAATAATCAACTAAAAGGTGGTAAGACATGTGAACAAGCAATTCACAGAAGGGGTAATGTGCATGAAAAGGGACTCTTACAATTCTGCAACAAGAGAGTTGAACATCAGTATAAAGTACCCTAAAACTAAGTTTCCTCAACCTTGACACTAATGACATTTTAGGACACAAAACTCTTCCTTTAGGGGGCTGAATTATGCATAAGACAATGTTTAGCCGCGCTCCTGGTTTCTACACATTAGCTCTCTCCCAGCTGAGACCCTGCAGAACATCTTCTACATCGCAGCCTCCCATGCAACTGCAACTGAGATTACAGGTACCACCCAGCCCAGCTCCTAGCAATGATTCCAGTTAATTTTTACATATATACACAGATTTGTACAAAAGAGTTCACAGCAAGATTTTTTTTTTTTTTT